GGCCTCACCTTGGTGCTGTGGGGACTGCATGACAGGAGAAGAAAGAGCCCAGATACCTGTCCCTGCCCTGCATGGAGCTCTCAATGCACCCATGATGAGATGGGAAGCTCCAGGCTGCTTTTCTGGGCTGCCTTGGTGCTGGGTTGATGCTGTGTCAGGTCCATAGGTTCATACCTGCCTTCCCACTAGGCTGATGTACTGGTCAGAGGTGGGGAGCCACTCACGGCTGATGGAGGCCAGCATGGATGGGAGTTGGCGGCACGTGCTGCTGGCCCAGGGACTGGGCTGGCCCACAGCACTGGCCCTCGACCTCCCCACCCAGAGGATCTTCTGGCTGGATGAGAAGCTGGGCAGTGTCGGTTCTGCACGTCTGGATGGCAGCGGTGTGAAGGTGTGGTGGGGCACTGGTGGTGGGCTCTGATGGGGACTGGGATGGGCACTGACAGCCTCTCTGACAGGTCCTGAAGCTGCACTGGGTCCGGAGCCCCTTTGCAGCAGCTGTGTGCGAGGGGCAGCTCTACTGGTCGGAGAGGAAGACATGGTCCGTGCAGCAGGTGGACAAGGCCAGCGGCAAGAACAGGACTGTGCTGCTCAAACGGCACGGGCAGCCCCATGGCGTCCAGGTACCTTCTTGGGGAAACCCGAGCCCTGCTGTGGCAGCTCTGCTAATCTCCCATCCTGCACAGTACTGCTGTCCTCTGAGCGAAGAGGCACTGGGAGCTATACCCCCATCCCAGTGGTCTTTGAGCAGCAGTCTCTGTGGCCAAGTGTCTCTGGTCCCCTGGGACCATCTCTGCCTCACCATCCTGCCCTGAGCTGGGCTGCGTGTGGGCCCTGGGAGCACAGTGTGCTGTCAGTCGTGCTCAGCTCTGCCGGCGCGTGCTGACGGAGCTGAGGCTGAGCCCGCTGTCCCGCAGGTGATGCACCCAGCCCTGCGCCCCGTGGCCCCCAACCCGTGTGAGGCGCGCGGCTGCTCCCACCTGTGCCTGCTGAGCGCCAGGCACACGGGGCAGTGCCGCTGCCCCGCCGGGCTGATGCTGGCCGCCAACGAGACCACCTGCCTGCCCATCCGTGATTCGGCCTTTGCCCTCCTGGTGTCACCGGCAGCTGTGGCACAGGTACCGCCCTCTGGAACCAGCCCTAGGGGCTGCTGTTCTTGCCACTGTCGGGGAAGAGGGGTCCACATCCTAGTGCTGCCTCCTTCCTCTAGGTCTACCTGAAGGACCTGCCCACATCAGCTGGATCCCAAGGGCTTCCCCCACACCGGGCCCTGCCTTTGGCCAAGGTGAGCCGCCTGACAGCAGTTGACTACGCAGTGAAAGACAAGAGTTTGTACTTTGCAGAAGTGGGAGGCAATTCCATTGGACTGCTGCGCCTGAAGGACTGGGGACGGCTGTCCTGGAAGAAGGCAGTAGCTGTGGAGGGCACGGTGACATCCCTGGCCTTGGACTGGCTGAGTGGGAACCTTTACTGGATTGGGGGCCAGCCACCCACCATCCATGTGGCAGCTCCCAGGGGGCGGTGGGTCCTGGCACTACTCAGCGAGGGGCTGCAGGGTGCTGCCTGGCTGGCACTGTGTCCTCGTGCTTCCACCATGTGCTTTGTCACAGCAGCTGGCAGCCGTGGGCGTGGTCCCGTGGTGGAGTGTGCGGCCATGGACGGCACTGGCCGCAGAGCGGTCTGGAGGAGAGCCCGAGCTCCCACTGGCCTTGCCTTTGGGGGTGCTGGCACCAGGCTGTACTGGGCAGACCAGGGTGAGTGAGGATGGAGCCGTGGCACTGCGGTGCGGTAGCAGTGGTGGAGGCACTCAGTCTGCAAAGCACAGCCTGGCACAGCCCTGAGGGGCAGCCTGGAGCCCTCTCTGTCACCACACTGATGCCTCTCTGCCTGTGCCTTGCAGAGCGAGGAACCATCAGCAGTGTTGAGCTGGATGGATCCCGCTTCCAGCTGGTGCGGGAAGGGCTGCATGGTCTCTCACTCTTTGCCATAGGAGAAGGCTTTCTGCTCTGGAGCACGACCTCAACCAATGGTAGGTCTGTCTGCTGTGCTTTGCCCAGCTCCTCCTGCTGCACTAGGACATGGGTTCTGCCAGTCCCCGTGGGGTGCAGGCTTGCCCCTCTGTGGGGTCAAGGGCAAGTTAGGGGACCCCCCACCTCCCAGCTCAGGTACCCTTGTGGGAGGAGGTGGAACAGTGCTGACCCCATGTGTCTCCAGGCTCCAGCAGGATCTGGCACAGCCGGCTGGAGCAGGCTGAGAACTGGTGGTTCCCGATGGAGCAGGAGCTGGTAGCCATGAGGATTTACAGCCAGTTCTCACAGGAAGGTGGGTCTGGGACTGCCCCAGCCCAGGGCATCTGCAGGGTTCAGCTGTGCCTTGCAGTGGCCGTGCCAACCAGCGCTGTTTTGGCAGGCACCAATGGCTGTGCAAAGAGCAATGGGGGCTGTGCCCAGCTCTGCCTGCCCAACCCTGCAGGGCGGCAGTGCCGCTGCTCTCCCGGGTACCACCTGGTGCACGGGGCAGCGTGTGCGCTGGCACCGCCTTGCCCCGCCCCGCTGCAGGCCTGCCCCGACCTCCAGAGCTGCATCTCCAGAGAGCAGGTCTGTGATGGGCGCCCCGACTGTGCCGACGGCTCCGATGAGTCTGACTGTGAGTGCCCACCCACAGCCTGGCGTGCCAGGGTCCTGGGCATGGGACAGCCTGCCCAGGCTCGCCCACTTTGGCAAGGGGTCTTACCTGAGTCTCTGCTGATCCATGCCCATCTCTCCAGGCACCTCAGTGAAGGTGGGGACGCAGGTCCCTGCAGTGGCACCATCAGGAATGTCCCACGTAGAACAGGAACCGGTCTCATCCATAGCTGCACCCCAGCCTCGGCAGCCTCACCCCAGCCTATCTGCAGCCCCTGGCCCCCAGGAGCACGGAGAGCCCTTCGTGGTGCCCCCCAGCACGGAGGAGGTGCTGGGGGCTGTGCCCTGCAGCAGCGAGACGTGCAACCTGCGCGGGGACTGTGCCATCGAGGCTGGCCGAGTGACGTGCCACTGCGCCCTGGGCTATCGTGGCGACTACTGTGAGGAGGCCGAGGTGCAGCCCCTGGCAGGACCCATTGTGCTGGGGGTGGCCGTGCTCCTGCTGCTGGCTGCTGCTGCTGTGGGGGCCCTAGCCTACATGCGGAGGCGGGACAGGCGGAGGAGGTGAGCGCTGGGGCTGCACTGGGCCGGGTACAGCTGGGTCTAGAGAGGGACAGGGTCTCCTTGCCCAGGGACAGTGTGGAGTCCTGATGCACTCCCGGGTTATATGGGAAGCTGCAATCACCCCAGCAGGCTGTTAGCAGGGGTTGTGGTAGGACTTTGGGATCTGCCCCATCTCTAGGAGTTGGCCATGCCATTCTCGCTGTGCATTTTTCCCTCTCCAGGACCTCGAGCACTGCTTCCACTCGGGTGCTGACCCTGTACCACCGTGAAAGTGATCCAGAGGAAGAGGATGAGGAGGAGGAAGAGCTTCCCCCCAAGAGTGATACATTTGTGAATGAAGCTTATGAAGGGAAAGAGGTGAGTAGCATCTGGAGCAGGCCCTGCTAGGGACCCCTGCAGTGCCCCAGGGCCCAGTGCTGGCATGGTGCCCACTCCTGAAGCAAGCTCTGCCCTCCTGCTGAAGGAGTGGGGCAAGACCAACAGTGCCTAGAGTCTGACAGGGCTGTCCCACTCTGCCTGTGGCAGAGTCCCACACCCTGTGCTAAGGTGTGGGGTGGGCTTGGAGAGGTTGGGTCAGACTCACCCCTGATACACCCATCTGTGATTTCTGCAGGAGCTGCCAGCCCTGCTGAGGAAAGGACCATCTCACATCAACACCGTAATTTCATAAAGGAACGTTGTGCAGCATCTCTTATGCCTTTGTGGTTTGTGTGTGGGCTGGGGAGGGGAGGTTGGTTTGCTCTTTCTAGATGTCTAAGACCTAGGGAACGTAAGAATGCAGACAAAAAACGTTTGGGAGGTTTATCAGGAAGTCTCCAAGTCCAACACACTCTCTGAGACTGTCCCTTGAGTACTGTCCCTCTGCAGCAAGGTTTAGCTTGCTGACCAGGGTGCCTTGGGCTCATCTGGTATAAGAATCTGGCCAAATAACTGCAAGGAAGCTGGCTTGGCTCTTACCTTGTTATGCAGGGGGCTGAGAAGGATTTTATAGTGGAGTTCTGACCTCCTGAGTGTCCCTTACAAACCAGTGAGACCAGTTTTACCACCTCACACCAAGCTAATTTTGAAAGGGGAAATAAAATGCTATTTTTTTTCCTCTGTGATCTTCCTCCCCCCACCCTCCCCACTCCACCCTGAAGTGGCTGTGCTCCAGGAGGGAGAAATCTCTTCAAGAGCTGATTTTGACCATGGGCAAGAGCTGATTTTGACCATGGGGGGAAAGTCCTTTGGGAAAGTGCTATAAAAGCTAGCTGTTGCCTTTTACAGACCTTTTCTCCCTGCTTCAGGCAAAACACAGGGAAGCTGGGTGCGCCATGCCCGCTGGCTCTCAGCCCAACCTGCCTGGCAGAAAGCCCATAACTATCCCACAGCACAAACGCATTGCTTTGAATTTATTTTGCTTTTTTCCCAGTCCTGAACTGGGCAGAGATGTGAGACAGGTGCTCCCCTCCCCTACTGCCCGCTCTGAAGGTTACACACTTCTGACCTGTATGTTGTTTACATGGGAGCACCAAAGCTCTCTCTGCCCAAGCTGCTGTGCATGGTACAGGAAGATGAGGTAAAAGCAGCACAAAGGGACTGGAGCTACCTCTGGTTCCCAATCCAACATGGCTTTGGCACAGTTGTAGATTCTGGAGCACAGCAGGCTTTTGATGAAGTTGCAAATATTCAAAACAGGTCCTTGGTCTCATTTCCAGCAAGAGAGAACCCAAAGGGGTTCAGAGGGGCCCCAGGAGAAGGGCATGGCTTGTAGGGGCAGGGGCCAGCACTGCTCTTGATGCCAGGGAGCTGACTGCTGTCCCAGTGCTGGGGCTACAAGTCAGAGTCACAAGGTGGGCTTCTCCCCCAGCGCTGTCCATCCTTCTCATCCTCCAGCACGTCCCAGGGATTGTTGTAAGCTCTACTGGAGCCCGAGCCAGCCTCTGTCACAGGGGTGGGGGCCAATTTGGGAGCTCTGCGCTCCTTGCAGCAGTGATGGAAGCTGAGGGCGAGGGCCAGCCCTCCCAGGATTTCCAGACAGCTTCCCAAATAGCTCAGCACCAAGCTGTAGCCTACGGTCAGCGTGCTGCCAGGCGGGGCAGGCAGTGCCCACAGCTCCTGGGTGTACCAGGAGCTGGGCACGAGGCTCATCAGCCCGGAGAGGAGCAGCACCAGCCCTGCCACGCCGGCCACCAGGTGCCGGGGCTCGGGCTGCCAGCAGCGAACACCCAGGGCAGCCACCACCAAGCCCACCAGGGTGACCACCAGCGAGGAGGGCATCAGCCCTTGGGCCACCCGCACGGGCACCTGCTCAAAGTAGCCCAGCTCGTCGGCCTGCCCGCAGAGGCGGTCGTGGGTGCTCTGCCGCTCCCTGCATATGTCCCAGATGCCCTGCTCCCAAATGACGTCCATGGGCTGGTCAGGTACGAGGCTCACCTGCCTCCAGCTGGGTGCCAGCGTGCCCGTGAGTGTCAGCAGGAGCCCGCAGGGGCACAGCACCAGCCCCACGATCATCTCCGCCGGCGTCCGCATGCTGGGGACGGGGGTGAAGCGGGATCCGGAGGGCTCCTGCTCGCCCGAGGTCCGCGGGAGCTCCGGGGCTCGCTGGACAGGAGCTGTGGCACCGGTGCGGGCAGGGCGGGGGTCCCGCGGCCGTGCCGGAGCCCCTCAGGCCGTGCCGGAGCCCCTGAGGCGGGCAGCCCGCGGAGCCGCCCCAGCCCCGCCCGGCCCGGCCCGGCCCGGGCCTGGGGAGGTGCGGACAGGAGGCGGTGCCGGCGGGCGGGGCCCGGCCCGGGCAGGGCTGGCCGGCACCTGCGGCGGGGACAGCGCCTTCCAGGGCTGCGGAGCCCGCGGGGAGCGCCGGAGCTCCGGCCCCGCTGTCCCCTCGCAGGTGGCGGGATGGGGGCCGTGCTCGGGCTGCTGGGGCGGCGTAGGACCCTGTTACAGCTCCCTCCGTTAGCTGCATGCCAGCTTATTTTGCTATCGAATTAGCTAACTAATTAATTAAAATAATTAGGATGAAATGCTGGCAGATCTCACATTTGGTAACTGGCCCAATAGACCTCCCCATCTCCCTGTCCTTCAGGGAGAGCTCCTGAGCTAGCCCTGCTCCTGCCGTCCCACGCTGCGCTCAGACGGCACCCGCAGCAGCCTGGCTCTGGGCAGGAAGAGTCCCTGGGATGTCCACTGAGACGGGTACGGGAAATCACCACATTTAAGAACTCCAGTGTGGGATTTTGAGCCCCAAAAAGCACTCGTCTTGGGCCTCGCCAAATTTCCCTGAGTTTCTGCCAGTCACACTGAGCCCAGGAGAGGGCAGCATGCTCTATGGATGGATTTGGGGTGAGCAACGCCGGCTGAGCTGGAAGGCTGGCTCTGTGTGCGCCCCACGGCGTCTTTGCGCTGCTGGTTGCTGGCCTTGGAGGGAGGAAGGAAAGCCTTCCGTCCGGAGGGCTGCCTGGGGCTGTGCTGGACCAGCTGTCCCCGCCTCCCTTCCCCACTCCTCCATACCACGGCTATTTCCCGAAGTCCTGAAGCCCTTCAGCTCTCTGGGTGTCAGATCATTTTGGGGAGGGATTTTGTAGTTGTTGAACCCTGGATCTTAGTCCAGCTGGAAGGCAGGGGTGGGTTGGACTCAGGCAAAGGCTCATGTCTCCAGCCACGTCTACAGAGCAGCCAGATGAGCCTAGCTCCAGAACAGGAACACCTGGCTTTGTGGTATGTAGCCAGTAGCTTGCTAAAACTTGGCACTCCTCATCTGGGAAACTAAGCTAGGGGTTACTGATTCCTTTCCTGTCCAATTAACTTCTGTAACTTTTACCCTACTCCAGCTACTGACTCTGTGCCAAGGCACTCACTACTGCCCTGGGAGCTGTGGGTCCAACCAACACACCAAATGTTGCTGGCCTGATGTGTTTCCTGAGTCTGCCTTCTGCCATGGGATCCCCACACAGGAACAGGTGCTGCAAGCCTGAAACCTTATATTCCTGGCTCTCTCGTGAGCTGTATCTGGACACCTTTCCATCTGGACACCAAGTGGAGGTTGGCTGTGAAATGTAGTGCTCCTGGAGGAGAGGGGGGCAGAGGGAAAGGGCTGGTAGAAAGCTGGGTGGCACAGTGCCATGGATGAGTGCCTATCAGTGCCCTTTGCCTCCTGCCCGCTCAGGAGGCTTTTACCAAGGTGACAAATCACAGCTTGGTGGCAGTGCTGTCAGGTGTAGCAGTGGTTGCCCAGGGATCATCCAAGCCAAGCTGTGAGCAGATGATAGCAAGCCCTGAGTCCTGCATGGCTGGCCAGGACTTTTCTACCCATCCCAGAAGTGTGCCAACCCTGATGGAAAGGGAGGAATTCTCCATTTTGTTGGATTTGCCCACATTTTACCCAGAAAGGCTAAGAAACCTAGAGGGTAATACCCACCCTAGGCTTTGCAATGCCTACCCTAGGATCCCTCTCTTGCAGCACCTTTCTTTTTCTCTTATCTGTTCCTCCAGCAGTGCTGTGCCCCTCTTGCCCTTGCTCATGCAGGCTGGAGTCTGGGAGGTGGCCAATCCTTGAATCTGCAGCTGCAGAAGAAGCTGGATCCCAGGAGTATCACAATTATGCACCAGGGCAGGTTTAAAAACCTGGGCCTTTCCAATTTATTAATAATGCCCAGGAGGGTGCATTCTGCCCTTTGGGCTGATGCCCAGGCTCCTGGCTGTGGGACAATGATAAGCAGATTAGGTGATGTGGCCCTGATGCTGGATGACCTGCCCTGAGTAAGCCTGGGGAAGGAAATGGGATTAACAGAGCTGTTTCCCGTTGCCACAAAGTTATAGATTGTTCATTTCTTCTCTTTTACTTTCTAATGAGGTGGTATGAAAAGAAATTCAAAGAAGTGCCTGGCCCTTTCCAAGCTCTGGGGAAGCATTTAAAGCCATCTGGCCTCAGAGATAAAATGGTCTGGCTGAAACTGCTTTCCTTCCCACATTGCCCTAGCTACTGAGTGGGAAAAGCCACCTTACTTGGTGTTTCCTACTTCTCCAACACTGTGACTTAGTTTTTTCCTATGCTGTCACAGTCATCTCTTTAAGAATGTGATGGAAACTTTATCCAGGCCTGGTTGACTTGGCTTGCATTTTATTACTATTTTTTAATACCCCCTTGTAAATTGGAAGAGTAGCAGAAGGCCTTGAGCTAATCGGACCTGGAAAAGTTCTAGGGCAGGATAGTCAGAACTTGATTCCAAGGAAGAAATATTTTTTTAAAATTCCATGATGAGGTATTTAGTGTTGAGTTGCTTCTTCCAGCCTCAGATAGCCTGCATCACTGAAGGCTGGGAATGAATTCAGGGCAATATTCCTGTGTTCAACCTCTTCCCTGCCTCTCTAGCTGTCTGCTTCCAGCCACTGGTGGTGATGGCACCCCAGACTGGACAAGTACTGGCATCTCTTAGTTGACAGTGTGAGGTCATTGTGGATAGGACCAGTAGCTTTTGGGTTACCCCATTGTCACAGCAGCTGAGCAGGATTTGCCTGATGCCAGAAATGGCCAAAGAACACATGCACACAACAATCTCCACAGCTTCCTATGTGATTCGTAGTCTGATCAGACTTCTAGGCCCAACTGAGCTTTCAAAATGTGGCTCTGGAGAGAAGAGCTTCCCTGCACAAAGTTAGCACTGCCCCTCCATTGTTGGCACTGAGACTTGGGGACAGGGGGGTCCTTTTCAAGGAGGTTACTCTGACTCCCTTCCTCAGCAGCAGCAGGATCTCTCAGCATCCTGTTTGCTGTGTGGGGAACAGTTGGGGCCAGGGCTGTTTAGCAGGAGCCTGCAGCTGGTAATTCCTGTTTACATCCCACTGACCCTGGGGCTTTGCCTGTGTCATATATGGCAAGATGCCCCCATACCAGCACAGATTCTGCGTGTCCTGCAAGTTACACTGTACCTGATTCCTTCTTGGGTTCAAAGTGGGCTTGGCCCATGCTGGACACCAAGCCATGAGGCTGCCAGGTCTGTGGACATGCGTTGTGCCACCCTGGGTTGCTCTGTGATGGCAGGTAGCCAGCAGGCACAATAGCTACCCCTGGCTGTGTATCATTTATCCCCTCTCTCACCTGAGGAGAATTCGCTTTGCAGAGTGTGGCAGTCACCTGTGTCTTGCCTGATGTAGGAGATGGGAACTGGCTGAGAACAGTGCCCGTGCAGGCAGGACCTGCACTTAGGGGGCTGCAATTTCCTCTGGTCTAGACACTTGTATAGCTCCACTATCCATCTGTGTTTACCTTTCAGTTTAAACCCTAAATCCCTGCAGGCTGAGATCAAAGCACGATGGCTCAAACAGTCCATGCTGTGCTTTTTAGCATTAGACCTGGTTGTCTAAGCTTCTCCTCAGTCTCCATCCCAAAGCAAAATTTCCTTAGCCAGGTGTCCAGGTTGAATTTTTTTGTTCTTTTTTTGCTACTTTCAATTTTGCTACATTATATAACAAATACATTCAATTTTGCTACTTTTTCCTCTAGCATTTCACATGGGACCATTTCTAGGAGCGCAAACTGAAGATTCTCCTTGCTCTCAAGCCATGGCCCCTGCAGCATGTGATTGCAACTGGAACACGCTCTGCATTGTGCTAACAGCTGCAGTTGCAATGGGCTTCTCCCAGCCCAGCTCCCAGCTTCCTCCCTGGACACACACACTGCTGTCTTTGTGCCTGCTGGGAGGCCAAGGATGAGTCCCAAGCAGGACAGGCTCTGTGATCCCCCTGGCTGGTTGAATGTGGAAGAGAGATCTGTGTGTGCTCCCCAGAGCTCCCAGCAGGCAGCTCCCTGCCCCAGCTATCCAGCCTTTGTGGTGGCACTCCGATGAGCAGATTCATCAGCCTTCCACTTGCCCATTGACCTGCCCCCCTTCCAGGCTGGCCATAGTGGTAGCAGCAGCCCTGAGGATGCACTCCAGAGGGGTTATCTGAGAGCAGGGATGTGTTGGGCATTGAAGGGCTTGCAAGCACCCATACTGGCGGGTCTCACTTCAGGGCTGTGACCCAGGAGTGGCTTAACATACCCAGGCCTGTAGCCATTGCAGTTTTGGCTGTTCCCCCTGCTCAAAATTCGGTGTGAGGGAGCTGCAGTTTGGGGTCAGCATCCTGTAATGCCTGCAGGGAACAGTAAATCCATCAGTGAGCACTGAGGCTGTTCCTGCTCTCTTTCTGCAGCCCAGCTGTGAGTCTGAGCACTATTCAGACTGGATTCTGGGAATGAGCTGTTGAAAGCCTTATTAGATGCCCCCCAGGTATTCACTCATCTGTTAACCTTGCTCACTTTCTAAACTGCTGCACTTGGACTTGCCAGATTGCCCAGTGCTGCTTTCAGTTCCGAGAATGATACAAAAAGCATTTTTGCAGCTATATCTATTTGTGTCTGACTCAGTCCTGAAGTGGTTGGGAGTAGTTTAGACACGAAGCTCTTGTGCTGGGTTTTGGAGGTGCAGCCCTTTTCAGACAGGAGTAAGAGAGCAGTTAAAGCTGTGTCTGGCTGTGGAAACTGCATGTTTGTC